AGCATTCCATAGCCAACCACCATTTGAAACTCTATAAACAAGTTTTCTATCGTCTAAGTAAACATTGTTGGATGATTCATTTATATATATATATATATATATATATATATATATATATATCTTGCATTAGGCGGTATTACTAATTAATTATGACATCTCTGATACCATGTTGAATTATCAGAGAGAGAGAACGGAGGCTCATTTCCAACAACATTAGTATTGTCTCCAACTTGGTAACTACTACCTGTACGATCTATTAGGTGTGAAGTTTTATCACAAAATGTCTCATTATTAGTTGGAGTAAGGTTATGATATTTAAATTATTTCTACTTTATTTCTCTTGTCGATGTGGGATATTCAACAACAATTGGAAATGAAAACTCCTATCTATTTTTTATTGGCTAAGATCCGCAAAAATAGACAGGTGGGGGGATTTCCACCTATCAGTATTCGCTGGCCTGGATGCCTGCATAAACAATATTATTTGGACACTGGAAATACATTATGAATCTCTGATTGAGTGAGATACAGAAGAAATAATGAATTATAATATGAAGCCATACAGAGAGAAACATTCTCCAGTTTCATGATTTTTGATAACCGAGTAGATCGACACGTACTTTTCATATTCATTTGCATAGAAAAGAACCGATCGACTGATGAAGTTCAAACTTCAAAGTGATTATATTCATACACAGCCTGCTGTAAATGGAGAAGCAAACACAAAGCAGAAGACTGCACAACACAATCAGCGGGGAAGCAGCAACTTACAGCTTTACGAATTACTTCATTTGAATTTCAGAATATGCCTTATCATATATATATATATATATATATATGGAGCACTTTTCTAACAGAGATTTTGCTTTATTATAGAAAAACAAACATGACAATCTTATAAGACCTCTTATACATTTCACTGTTTTCCTCTTTTTTGACTCCCAAATATGACAATCTTATACGGTATTTACAACTTCCCACGAAATTATATCGTCTCGATTTCATCGATATTGCAGTTGAAGGCCTGCAGGATATATAAATTTTTTATTGTTTGTATTTGTAGTGTTGATTTTTAATTCCTTTATGTACATTTTGAACAACCATTATTTGCATGGCTTAGATGAAATAAGGATATGCATGCCCTAAACACTCATGATTCTGCACTTCTTGGCGGCCATACACGTTAATTTTCACCTCATCCTGTTGTGGTCTCTACTTCGATATCCTTCCCTTTGGTTCTTTGTGCAAATCACAACCGTCAATATAGACAAAAGTGGGTTCATCCTATGTTTGTTTTTTCCGACATTGACTGCATTGTTTGGAACTGTAAATAATTTAAGGTCGTCCTTCTCAAGTGTTGAAAGTTGTCACAAAGAACCAAAGGGAATTTAATCTTAGCTGTTATTGCCTAATAGCTTGCTTCCTCAAGAATCAAAAGTCACTTTGCACCTCAAAATTGAAGATGCATGCGTTAAACACATAATTTTGATCCATAAATTCAAAGATAAACTTACCTACGTACCTCTGTATATAATTTTATGATACTAACAATGACATCTCGTTACAAATAAATTCTTCTCATAACTTTGAAGCGTGCTCAATTTTGATTTTATTTAAAGCTACAAGCCTACAATAACCAATAACGGAAATCGCATGTTCCATCTCAACTGCTACACGTTGTTGTCAAAATCAACAAATTTTAAAGCTTCATAACAAATTTTATAGAAAACAATGAGGATCAAATTTAGCTGGTGGGGAATTCATCTAGAATAATAATAGAACCTGTCATGTTGTCTTGGATTTTATGTATGGTTTAATAAAAGAGAATTGTTATTAGCACTCCAAAAATCTCATTCTACACTCCAAACTTTATATATTATGAAAAAAAAATACACTTATGAGGAGTGTAGAATGAGAATTTTGGAATGCCAATAACACTTCCTTAATGAAATTGTGGTTACTTATTGTTCTAGTTTAGCACTAAAAGACAAAATAAAACAACAAAAATAACCTTATTCGTTAGACTAAGTGGAATGTCATGTAATTAAATTTGAAGACAAGAGCAAGTTCCAACCGATATGTTGCCAATCCTATGTGAATTGACATATGAGAAAATATGATGTCAAATAATTTTTAATTATTTTATTGTGTGGATCTCATTAATGGATTAATTATAGATCTTGAAATTTTATTTTAAATGATTTCTTTTTAAAATAGATCATACAAATATAATTTATAACGAAAAAAACATATCGGTTCGGAAAAAAAAAAAAATCTACCATTACCACATCAATCATTAAATTAACATTTGATATTTATCTTTTGATATATTTATTAGAGATGCTCTTAAATAGATAAATACCGACAAAAATGGACACGATTTTTGTTCTATCCCAAACAGAAAAGTGAGGAAGATAGGGACAAAACAAAAAGAAGAGGAAGAAGGAGGGAGAGGAGGCGGCGGCGGCGGCGTACGCCCTGACATGCGCCGCACCTTTGCTTGCCTCACCATGTGCCCTTTCATGCTCTTTTTTTTTTTTTTTTTAAATGTGCGCTTTCATGTTTATCTGGTTATCTCACTTATTAATAAAGGTTCCATTCCACATCATTCCTTTTTCTAATCTTCTTTTCTACCTTAACTTTAGCTCTGAAGAAGTACGATGGAATTAGCGTTTCTTTAGAATTATTTTTAAAATAATTGAAAAATGCTCTCAGATCAATTTTAATGATGGGCTAAAAATTAAATTACTCCCTAAAATTTTCTCCCAAACCCAATCCAACCCAAGGGAAATTTTGGGTTAAATGTTAAATGCTAAACCAATGCCAAATTCCCTTCAAAATTTAGCCCAAAAATCAGAGTGGAATCCACCCAATATTTATCAGAAATTTTTTTAGATTAAAATGTTCATAAAATTAATTTACGATAGTCTACATATATATATTTTAAATTTAATTTAACAAAAAAAAAACCTAAGTTCATTCTTTAATAATCCCGGGCTAAAATTTTAGACTATAACGGTTAGAGAAGAAAAGCTATTTCTTGGTTAAAAGCTAAATTTTTTGGGCTAAAATATTTGGCTTTTAGCCATTGGAGATGGTCTGAGTAAAAATAAATTTTAAATTAATTTTTAATAAAAATTAAAGCAATTCTTGAAAAAGTACTTGCAATGCTTTTATTTCTAGAATAAGCACTAATTATGTTTTTCCACAAATCACTTCAAGTGCTTTTGGAACAGTTAAACATTTTCTCTAAAAGAGCTTCAGTCCTTTAAACAACACTTCGAAACAAACTCTTATTTGTTGAGAAATGCTTAAATTAAGACTGTCAATTGACTCTTTGCTACCTCGTATTTTTTACACTATATTTTAAAATATTGACAGAAAAACTAGAGAAAAATGCTCTCAATATTTTAATTCTTAATAATACAGATAGTCTTGGATTAAAAGGATTGATAAGTATATGTCATGGTTAGATATGAAATAAACCAATTGGTCATGATTAGCGTGCCCGCTAGAGCCCGTCACGTTCTGTTTAAATTACATTATAATAGTTTAATTAAAATATCATCTTTTTATAAACATGTTAAAAAATAATACGAGTAGTGTTTGATTTAAAACATTCTTTGATTACAATAAAAAGCAAATTGGGATATAGACCTGATAAGGCTATGACAAAGCCACAATTTTCTTTTCTTTCCTACGATGCGGTGCTAAAAAGCGACTCGAATGACATGTAAATTGACTGCACACAGGTTCGCCGTATTGGCTTAAACTCGATTTCAACGCAATCAAAATGTCTTTATAATTTTTATCTTGAACACTACATTGAAAGTGAGAACTCGATTTCAAACTTTATATTTACAATTCAGGTAGATAATTCTACATCAAATAAAGTAAACGGAAAGAGAGAAAGGAGACCAAGAAAGATTTTTAAGAAGATTGTCGTCGATCCCTCAACCAAAAGCAGAGAATCTTTCTCTGATTTTTGCTCTAGACTGCTAGAATTTTCAATATGTTCCTCTATAAAAAAATACAAAATAAACAGCTTCTTTTTACCTTTTTAAACAATCGATATTATCTGCATTAAGCGGCTTGTTAGATTAAACTATAAGTCCATTTTGTAATTCATTATTGGAATTTTTTTTTTTTGGGTCAAGTGTGATTCATTATTGATTTAGTCCACTTCGTTGGATTAGCCATTCGCTAACTATCTGCATCAGTTTTTATATTATCTTTTATTAAAGGGGTTAACTGAGAGAAGATTCGGGGATTCTTCAATCACATTCGTTTATCGTACATTGTGCGGGTCAATTTTTGTCAAGTACTGTTTTATATTTAATTTTAAATAAAAAAATTTACAATGATTTATGACCGTACAATGTACGATGAACGGATATAATTGGAGAATCCTCAAGATCATCCTCCTAGAGGTTAACTAATCTATGTTGTAGATGCTATATATATATATATATATATATGGAATTGTTATTGGCATTCCAAAAATCTCATTCTACACTCTAAACTTTCTATATTTGGAAAGAAAAATACACTTGTAAGAAGTGTAGAATGAGATTTTTAGAGTGCTAATAATACTTCCCTGATATATAATCGTATGGATTCATAAATGTAATGGAGATGAATTTTTTTTTTACTATTTTATATGAATAATATGTAAATTAATTTCCATTTATTTTCATAGATGACATACAATTTTTTTTAACTATTTTTCATAAAAATGGTTAGTTTTTTAAATTAAAAAATTGTAAAAGATGCATAAATAAATAAATTTATTTAAAACTAAAAAATAAAAATAAAAAACTAGACTAAATTCAACAACATCATAAATTCTGAATTATACTTTTATATTCAAATTTTATGTATGATGAGTTCGATATTTTAATATATCGTTGTCGCACTTTTTTTCAAAAGACATTATAATTGTAAAAACAAAGAATTTAATCACTTTGAATAAGATAAAAAAACGTTAAGATTATAATCAAACACCAACTCGTGGCATAAAAACACCAAGAAATTTCTCAAAGACTCCCCACATGATCACATTCTTGCATCCTCACTCCCTTTCTGAATTTCTGTCTCTTCCTCCGCAGCCAAAAATTCCAACCTCTCTCTCTCTCTCTCTCTCTCTCTCTCTCTCCCTCCCTCCCTCCCTCCATTTTTCTCTTCTGCAACAAGGTTTTGCTGGAGAAACAAGATAAAAGACTCATTCTTCTCTTCCGGGTGACTACGTTCGCTGAGGTTTATAATTTTTTGTTCAACCACTTGGGGAAGTTGGAAGAAGAAAAAAGTGAAAGAAAATAATCAGAAAGTCGCAGTCTTCGTGTACAAAGTGAGTTTCTTTCTTATAATTTACGGGCTTTGTTCCATCTGCTATTTGTTTGTGACTTTGTTCCAGTTAAATCTTTCCAGTTTTGACTTATTGGGTTGTTTTCTTTTGATTTTATTTTTCAAATTTTCTTATTTCCCAACCAGGTGGTGACTGGTGACTGTACCGTTCGCTACGCAATTTCTGACGCTCCTGATACCACCCATTCTCTTCTTCTCCTCCATTTCTCGGTTCCTTAGCTTTCATTTTTCTACTAACTGACAGAAAAATGGCGGAAAATCCAAAGTTGGTAAGAAAAATTAAATCCAACATTTTCTGGGTTTTCTTTATTTTTTAATTGGGGTCTCGAAAGTTGCTCCATTTTTGTATTGTAACTGTTCCATTTGAGTTCCAAATTTTCAGAAAAGTTTTGAGTTACAGGGACTCTGTTTCTGAATTCGGGTTTCTGGATTTTGGTTTAGGATTCGGGTTCTCAGGAGGTTTACGGATTAGAAGAGAAAATGAGCACCCAGAAAATATCCGTTTCAGATCATATAAACGGGTTTCACTACACCGCCGATAAATCTGACAGCTTCGTCATCGACATGGAAAGCTTCTCCCATGGCGGCACCGATAAAGATGTCACTGCAAATTCTAGAGTCTCGGTAACGTTCTTATTCCTCTAATTTTTATTTACTTTTTCATAAGAGTTTGTGCATTTTTCTTCTCTTTTTTTCTCTTTGGATTTCGTAAAAGTGGCATCTTCTAATGGTAGTTAATCTCCCAATTAGTCATGGTATTTTTTCCTAAATGTTGGTGGTTAGGTCAGTCAGTCAGAAATATTTTCGTAAATTTTCATCCGACTTTGAATTTTATCTTTGTAAATTAGCGTAACTCAGAATGTTGTGCTCTTAAAAAAATAAGAATCATGACATTCTCGAAATAGAAAACAAATACTTATGAGATTGCGGCCATTGTAATCGAATGTGTTTCTCAAGCAACAAGCAGTATCATTGCTTGAGACAACAAAAGTAAAATTGCAAATGCAAGTTGTTCATTATTATTTTTTAAACTCTGTTTTTACCCTTTTCTGCCTTCTTTTTCCTCTTACAAAATTATAAGTGTTGACAATTATTTATGTTGGATGATAATGATGCAGAGAAATGTCTCCCGGAAATGGTCTCAGAGAGGTGGGGAGAAGAAGATAATCCGAAACGTCAATTCAATGACAAAGAAGTTTCATCTACGACATCTTCACCCCTCGGTAATAAATTTTTCCAGTACAACCGATATTCTACTTTAAATTAATTACTTTTCTGAGAGTGATTGCTCAGTTGAAATTGAATTGGCCTCCAGGGGTTTCAAACAATAAGAACAAAATGGAAAATTGGACCATACCTTAGTGTGTGCCACATTTGTGGTAATATATAATTGTTATCACCACCAACCTCTGCCAGCCTCACATTGAGATGGCTGACTCCCACACACCAGCCCTTACCAATTCCATATTATAATTGTTTCTTTATTATAATTAGGAAACCATTATCGGCACCACAAAACGGTTATCGTACATTGATTACGTGTAACGTCTCTTTAGAACTTGTTTGAAGTGTCAGTAACAACCTTCAGTTATAGATTGTTGAAGTGTCAGCAACAACCTTCAGTTACTTATTCATTTGTTAGTGTACCACCTAAGATAAACTTATGGGTATTTGAAATTTGTTAGCTGGAGATTAGTTAGGGATAAACATGAACCCACATCCATAATTCAAACTATGACCATCTCTAATCAATTTTATGTGGGGCCTTTGTAGTAAGTAAGTTGCAGTTGTGACAGTGAAATACAACCAGAATTTGGCTAGGTCAATTGGAGAGAGATTTTTCAATGTGCCTGAAACATGAGACAGTATGTCGTATGATATTATATAAGTGGAGGAAAGTTTTTTTTTCAAGTGTCCCTCCACTTGTGTAATGACATATGACATGTTTCTGTATTCTTGGCACACTGAAAAATTTCTCATCAGCTAGAGGTACAGTTGATGAATTTTCAGATTTTGATTTAGTTGGTAAAAGAAGGATTTACTGAATACCTTGCCCTTTTGTTTTGATTATATGTTTGGAGGCGTAGGCAGTTACATGTACCAGCATTTTGGGAAATTCGACGATGAAATTCTAGTTAGGCTACATTTCCTGTGCACATTTTGGTATGAAATTATTGAGTTGCAGCTACTGTTGTAGGCTCTAGCACGCCTGAAAAGTCCCCACTAGCTGTTGGGACCATAGATCAATCGAGCAACCCACACGTTCATCATCAGATCACAGTCACTGCCGCCAACATTGGCACCACCACCGAAGGGAGGTGCGTTGTTCGGAGGAATAGTTTCCGGCGCTCTTCCTCCTGGGGCATTGATCCCAAGAGGGTTCTCTTCTTCTTTGCCACCATGTAAGTTTACCGAGCTCTCTCTAAACCCTAAACCCTGTTAATAAGAGTCAATGACCCGAAGTGTTTTTTCGATGGCAGGTCAAGCATTGGAACAATCTTACTCATATACTTCACCCTTTCTATTGCCAAGTACAATGCAGATGAAACCAGTATTGACTGGCAGCAATGACAGAAGTTGTACACTTTCTAGTTGAATTTAAGACGCGAAACGATCCATAACGGAAAGGTGGCTCGTCGGAAAAAGCGGCTTCTTTCGACGAGAGATACGGTTTTTCGGATCGAGAAAAGCTAACAACATTCCATCAGCATGTCTTGGTACAGAAATCCAAAACTCCTTTTTGAGGCACTTTACAAAGTTTTAGAACTGAAGACAAAGACATAATGCATCGTGACAAGGAGGAGTCTTTCTTTTTCTTTTTTTTTTTTTTTTTATGTAGATGGGTGAGATCGAAACACATGATCTGTTTTGTTTTGTAAAATACTTCTTTTCTCTACATAGATTAGTAGGAGAATGTGAATCGCCTTGGAGAACAATTATTGAAGATATCAAATCGCTTTCTTTTTTCTTCGATTATATGAAGTATAATCATGTTTTTAGAGAAGCAAATTTCACGGCAGCTGTTATTACTTCCGTAGGCCACCATGCTAGTAATATGTATTTGGGACGGGATGATCCCGCCTCAACCTAAAAATGCTTCTTTGTTCGACTCTCGGGGACTCAGGTGTTCCTAAGGCTTCTCTTAAATTAATTTTTTTGTTTCTAAAAGATCAGTGGGAGGATCAGAAAGTCACATTTTTCTTTGGGTTCTCCTTCTCATCCTTTTTGTCTTCGCATTTTATTCGGAAAAATGATTTCCGCCCTTCCCTGTTTGCTTGCTCCTTCGGCAATCCAACTTCAGCCGGCTCTATTTGTTGTATTTGGCTCCCATGTGAGTGGAGCAATTTGGTCTTCACGCATGCGCACTTGGAGCTTTTGCTTTAAGGAAATACATTTTTGGAGTTCCAGGAGTGCAATGGTGGAATTATATGCCCGGGTTTTTCTGGAAGGCTCATTCCCTATGGCATTCAAAACCACAGAACATGCCATCCCCTATACAAACATAAGCCAAAAACAAAGATAAACACATGATTCGTTTAACCTCAAAACGAGAGTGGTTTTAAAACATTTTTAAGTCACGTCATGAGAACGATGGGAAGGAAGAATGTCTCCGAAATTCAAAAGTCATGTAAGAACCAATGTGACGGTATCTTAAGCTAATCACGAACGGCAGTGTTTTTGGCTTTGGAATACCGTCACAATGCATTCTCAGGCGTAGGTAATTCATATTTGGACTAAAATAGTTTGTGAATATGGTTTGCTCTTCAAGACTAAAGATTGCATATTTAAGCAGATGCGGGTTAGGCCAGTTTGGCAATCCACAAAGTCTTCCCTAGCAAAGCTGGCAATCAATTCCCTACTTGACAAGGCACTCTAGTATATTCCCAAACGCACCTAAAATACAATCTCACATGCTAGTCTAAATCTTCTACCCACCCTAAACTACCCTAATGCAGAAAGGAGAATTTTCACCACCCTCTTTAAAGAGTTTGGTTGTTTTAGGTATCACTAGGCCATCCACGATCGGTAGTAGTTAAAGTTTTAGTGCTCCCTAATTCCAGTAAGTCATAAATTACAGAGGTCAATTTAGAATTCAAGATGAAGAACCTAACTTATAGCGACGAGTTATAAAAGAAAGATAAGAGCAAATCAAATCAATAAGGCATTCCATTTGAAAGAAGTAAATATCCATACTAATCTTGGCACATTGGAAATCCAGTGGGCTCCTAAGAGATCTAGTAGTAGAAGTTGGATGCTCAACCTGAAACCCAAACCCTGCCAAGAGTTAACAAATAGAGTGGCATCCGGGGCGAGCCTCCTAATAAGTTCATGCCAATGTGTTCGGTAAATGTACATGTAAGGTTATAAAGGTAATGAAAACCACGGGGATGGTTCTGTCTCTACAACATGCTAATTCAGCAGAATATAATGCAAATGGTGACAGGCTTGTACATTTCGAAATGACAATTAGCTTTTGTAATTTTGTATCATATGCATGTGCAAAGCTTGATTCAAACCAAAGAAGGCTTTTCAACAGAGAAACCTCATGGCTATACCAGACATTCATGTATTGATAACACTATATATATATATATGTTTGTGTTTGTATCACGAGTATATAAATATAAAGAGGCATGCCATTCAGCATATTTTACCTCATATTTTGCTACAACAAATATATTCTTGTAGTGGTAGACTATATATGCTTATGTATGTATCGCGGGTATAACAAATTGCAGACAGCTCGGATGTTAATTCCTCGGTTCAAAATTTCCATCTCTAGTAGCGTTTCGATATTCTTGGCATAGAGCACTTGCGCTTCCGGTCGTGATAAAGTCTCAATACAACAGCTGCAGTTTCTTCTATTGCTTTTCCTGTTACTTCTGCACTCAACAAAATACGAGCACAATTAACTTGGGCAACAATACTATACCAATCTTCACATTACCAAATTAAAGCATAAGAGGAAAACTGAGAAAGATCACACTAAAATAAAACCAATGAGTAAAGACGTGAAAGTGCAGTTATTCTCACCAATTACTGGCCATACAGGATTCTGTGCAAGAATCGTTCGAGCAAACTCCAGCTCCTGTTTGACATGAACCATCTCGGAATAGTTACCCTTCATTCCTTCACTGAACCCCAGAGTCTTAGCTCTTGCTGTTCTAATTGTTTGCAACACTAGAGGATTGATAGTCAGACCAAAAACCTTTTCCGGGTCAACCTCAAAAAGGGCCTTTGGCGGCTGAACCCCCATCACAATAGGCACATTTGCAACCTTGTAACCTTTCTGCGCAAGATAAATCGATAACGGGGTCTTCCCAGTTCGTGAAACACCGACAAGAACAATGTCAGCCTTGTGCAAGTTCTGGGGCAATGCCCCATCATCTTGTTTGATGGTAAACTCAATGGCTTCAATCCTGCAAAAGTACTCATCGGTGAGAGGAAAGCTCCGGCCTGGGGCCCCACGAGGGAGGCCGGAGGGCGAAACACCCAAATGGGTAGCAATGGCCTCTGTAATTGGGCCCAACATATCTGTCGTTGGTATGCCCCAGTGCCTACATGCTTGCCGAGCAGACTCCGCCATTGACGGGTCAGCTAAAGTGTACACAAGCAGAGCACCTTCTTTTGCTGCTTGCTTTATAATCTCCATCAACCTCTCTACATCATCAATCTGAAAATTTTTCACAAAACCTCATTTTGCATTCTAAATTAGCATCAACACAGGCAGTATCAAGGATTACAAAATTTGAAAATTCAGATTAAGTACTGATTTGGTCTACTTTCTTTTCACTTAAGCCTCAAACATCATAATAGCAAAGATTACAAACTTATTAGTTATTAGAAAATTTAGATTAAAGTACTAATGTGAGCTACAATTTTCACTTGAGCTACAAATATTATAACACCAAAGATTATAAATTTATTAAAAAAATTGATAAAGTCCTAGTCAGCAGTTAGTTCATAGTCAAAACTGTTTAACCTTGATTAGTGGTGATCTGTTGTAGATTAGTTTCGTACTGATCTACTAAAAATTTCTCAGTTAATTACCGTAATATATAAATACTACTGTACACAGTCATTGACGACTACTGAAAATCATTATTCGGTTTCTTTTTACAAATTTATGATTTTTTTCAGCTTATGCTACGAACATTATATTAGCAAAGATTTCAGGAAAATTGCCAAAATGATCACTTTACAAATCCCAATTACTGAAATGATCTTTTTTTTTATTTTGGTATGTTTTGGGATCATTTCATATGTCGCCATACGATTGATATCTGATTTTGATCAATTGAGCAATTGGGATTTGATTTTTGATCACTTGAGCCAATTTCCCAAGATTATAAAGCAACGAACTTTACCCCGGAAAACAAATGGGTATTGACGGCGCAGCCCCGGTCGACCAAGCAATGCTCGAACTGCCCCAACGCAGCGTTGACGGAGTGCTCCACCGTCCACCCAGTTCCGTCAGAAACCATGTATATCGACTTCCCTGCCGTCATCTCCATGCCTTCGTCGCTATCGTCACTTTCCGATGCAGTACTATCATCGGGATCTAACGAGACGCGGTCGGTAGACTGCAGCCGAGGGTTCGGATCCAGCAATTGGGTCCTCTGACCAGCGCGGTCCAATTTCCGACCCGAGCGTACGGACCGTGCCCGGGACCATCGAGTCAGCTGAGGGCTGCCCTTGATTTTCCGGGCATGTGATTCCGAACCGGGTTCGGAAACGGAGGAGGAGGCGGCGATGGGAGGTTTGAGAATTGGCTGGGGATTTGCATGACTTGTTCGGCGCGCGGGAGCGAGGTTCGGGAAGCTCAAGGTGGAAGAAGCATTCATTATTTTATTATTATTTCCTTCTCTTTTTCCATTTTTTGGATCTTTATTTTTGCCTGAGATTTTTTCTCGCTGTCGGGTTTGGGTTTGGGCCTAGTGGGCCTCAGCAGTCTACTTGGGCAGGCCTTTTTTTTTTGCACACCTTCGGATAGAGACAAATTTTCAAACACTAATATTACCCATGTCCGAGTCAAATGCCTCTAAAGTTTAAACAATTGAATATTTCTCTACGTATATTTTCTTCTTTTTCCTTGTATTTTCACTTGTGAATTTTCCATTTTAAATTGACAGTCACACTGTCACATGGTGTCATCTACTCATATTATAACACATAAAGAATAATATCACATAACATTGTGACTCACGCCAAAAATACTTATCATATGATACAGAAAATGCATTTATTCAACATGGATAACATTGAGAACTCCTACATTTATTCTTAAGGAGAAATTAGACTTTCATCCCTCATTTTTCTATTTTATTGATTGAAACCTTATTCATTGTCAAGGCCTTTTGATTTTAATCCATGTGATTATATCGATAATAAAATATTTACATGTCATCATGTTCAAATTTTATCTTTCAAATATATCAATTTAGTGTTAAAAAAAGTTACATTTGGTATATTTATATTTATGGCTAAAATTTGTATCGTATATTTTCTTGTTAGTTTGTACCCATTTTCAATTAGCAACCATTTTTCAATTTCACCAATTTCTTTCTAGTTTTAGTTTATACCCATATATTTATTTTATTTATTTTTTGTGCCCATTATTTTTAAACTTTTATTTGTACTTATAGTTTTTTTAATCTTTTATTTGAACCATATTTTATTTATAATTTACTAAAATGCACACATATTTTAAAATAAAAATAAATAAATAAATCTGATCATATTTAACACAATTCAAATTTGAGAAAAAAAATTAAAAATCCTTATATGGTTTAAACTTTGCATGATTATAGGGAGAAATTATTTATTTTCATTATTTAACTTTTTAATTAATATCGAAATTTAATATTTTGACATTCAATCAAAGTATTCAAATTAATAAAGTTAATTTTGATCAAACTAAGGAGTGAAATCAAAATTTTCCTTTACTTAATGGATGCTCATATCAATGTTTCCTG